TCAGATGACAAGAAAAGGGCATTCAAAGAACTGGCAACCCTGGGTCTCTTAGGAATGGGGATGCCTTATGGCATATGAGCTGTAGTGACTGGGAAATGAAAGAAAGAAACTACTTTTTAAGAACAACAAGGAGCCCGGTGGCACCTTAAAGACTAACAGATTTATTTGGGTATAAGCTTTTGTGGGTAAAAAAAACACACTTCTTCAGATGCATCCCATTGTTTTTGTGGATACAGACTAACACGGCTACCCCTGATACTTTTTAAGAAGGATCTGGTGAGTGTTTGCACTGACTGGACTGATAAAGCATCCCACTAAGTAATGTTTTCCACATTGATGAAGGGGAGATAGCTCATGATAAGATAGGAAGTCTAGAAATGTCCAAAAGACAGCCTTGTAAAGAAATGAATGAGTAAGGTGTGCAGGGATATGGTTTGAAAATGAAGCAAAGTAAAGGATGTGCTTACACTATATAATATTGTGTGAAAAGCACAGGTTTTGCCTCCTCTCTCTCTTTTAAGCAGGTATACTGAAAAATGTATTCTCAGTGCACAGAAAATAAATGATTAACTGTTGCGGTAACTGGAAACTACTGAGCATACACCCAGGTTATGGATGACTGAAAGATAAAAGATGCCTGAATGCTTGAATTAAAATCATTGATAAAAATGTGGAGAGTTATCTGGCCAGTCATTTTTCACTTCTCTTTTCCTCTAACACTACCTCCTTCCACCAAATCCTCTAAAGGCATACAAGTCCCTTACTTCTCTCCTTTTAGTAACTCCAGATAACCCTCCATCCATGATTAGTTCTACCATAATTGGTTTTTGTCCATACTCTCTTCCACTGATTTGCTATTTGATTCTTCCATTGTGGATTGTGTATGTAAGATAGATCACTAAGGGGTCGCAGATATAATGATCAATATCATGTACAGCTTCAAAATAGTCTTCCAGCAGTAGAAATACAATTTTTTAGGATACTTATGACATGATCTCTATGGGGGAGACTTTTAAAGGCACAAAGGGCAGCTAATAAACTAACTTCCATTGACTTTCAAAGGGAGTTGAGAGTCTAGCTGACCTGTGGGCCTTTGAAAATTAGAGTTGAGCAAGATTTTTCATACTAAATTTTTGTGGTGGAAAAAAGATGCAGATTCAGCAACACTGAAATGTTTTGTGAATTCATGCTGATTTTACCAAATTATCTCTGTTGTAAAGCAAACAGAAAAAAATCCAAAAAAGTAAAAATGTTTTGTTTTAACATTTTTTAAATGAAAAGTTTCCGTTTTTTGGTTCAAAAGGATTTTTTGTTTCAAAATTTCCTTCAATATTTTAAAAATTTCAAAAAATATTAAAAATGCTCAAAATTTAAACATTTTTAAACACACTACACAATTTATTTCAACTTTTTGATTCGCTGAACATTTTAATTTTTGGTTCAACCTGAATCTATTTTTTTCAATATTTCAGACTCACCAGCAAACCAAAAAATCCATTATTCACAAAACTCTATTGAAAAACTCCCTTTGGTTTTCTACAGCACTGTTCTGTGGAAAGCATTAATTATAGCATTAATTGACTGATTTCTTGGAAGCAATTCTTTAGAGTAATCAAGTTTGCATCTAAAGAAAAAAACTTTCACTTCCAAAGTCAAGATCCACCACCCCAAAAATGCTGTCATTGTTCGAAAGGAGAGGCATCAACAATTACACCTGCTGCATCTGCATTTTTCCATCCAAATGGAATTGGCTGTCACCAGGCATGACATTAGGAAGAAATATTTCTGATCCCAACCTCTTAGAAGTCAATGAAAGAATTCTCATTAACTTCGATCAGGCTATGATTGAACCCTTAGACTCTTCTATTAAAGCTTAGATGTCAAGCAGTGCTAGCGGGATTGAATACAACAATGGTTATAGCAGATGTACTAGCAGCACAAGTGTGCTCCTTAGCTCATTTTAATTTGTTGACAGGTTTTTACAAAGTGGTAAACCTGATTTGAAGCTGGATTTTCATGTTTTGTGGAAGAAAGAAAACTGAGCAACAAAGAAAGAGAAAGAAAAAGATTCAGAAAATGGTAAATTAAATTTGTTGTTATTGTTATTAAATACTTTTGGTGTATGAACACATATCCTACCATGTGCTGCCAGACTAACTCTGGCCCTTTGGTATGGTAACTTGGTAGACAGAGAATTCTATAAATCTCCACAAAGGATGGAGTGTTTCTGACAGCAGTAATTCAATAAGAGAAAAAACCATTGCTTTTTAAAATAACCTGGTTAGCCAGTCCCTTGAAAAATAAGTGACCAAAAGAAATCTCCTCCACATGAGAATGATTGGATTTCATTCTATCAGATTAATGCACAACATGAGCTGTCCCTTTATATTTCATACTGAAGTGCTGGTGAATTTAGGAGATTCACAGTATGCTGTAAGTAAACCTTTTAAGACTTAGCAATAAATGGGTATAATTAAATATTTGAACCATGAAAGCAACTTTTGAACTCTTACGTAAAAGATCAATTCTAGTTCGTAGTTCTATAACCTTTTCATTCAGTGTTCCATGTTATGTTCTTAAATCTACAGTTCTTTCACACCATTCAGCATTTGTGTTCCATCTTCGATTACAAGGAGGTAACACAGATATTAACATATCATTCACATATCATATCATATCGTCCAATGTTTACCATAAAAATCAACTGCTGGCATAGGCCCCACTCCAGCAAAGCCCTTACACCCATGCTTAAAACTAAGTACGCCCTTAAGTGTGTTGCTGGATCAGGGCCTTAAATATTATTCAAGCTGTACTTTTTCCTGATGTAAGTTTTTGTATTTTTCTTCCTTTTTCTACATTTTTGGCTTCTTTCTTCATGCTTTATTTCAGCTGCTGACTACTCTTTAGATTAAACTAAATCTAGAAGGACGCTGCCATTCTGTTTAGGCATAGTCCAAAATTTCTGCCTCTGATTTACTTTCATTTAAGGATGTTAAGTTTGGACCAGATCCATAACCAGTAGCTGTCAATGGAACTATGCTGATCTACACCAGTTAAGAATCTGGGCCTTGAGTATGTTCCCTTAAAGTTCTCCTTCAACAATCATTTATTTTAGGGTTCTTATACTACAGTATATCTTATACAGTTAGTATATTCAGATGTACATATTCAAACCTGACTGAGATCATACCAAAATAAAGGGTCTTGATTCTAAGAGCTGCCTACAAGTCAGTGGGAGCTGTGGGTGATAAGCACATGTTGCCATCAAGAACTATGTACAGTGGCTTTATCTTAGTACAAAATACATCTACATTATTAAACCACCATATCTATGATTATCTATAGTATCGGGGGTTTTAATCCTAGTTGCTGAGGTTACAGGATAATGAATCCAAATAATGCACATATTAATAGACATATTAAAAACCATAATGACAAAACTGCATTTCAGAATTTGCTATGATAGCACACATAATACTATGAACATATTTATATTCAAATCTTGATTATATCCATTGTTCTGATGGGTACTTCTTTTTAAATTACATACTTTCATATTACATACTTTCAAAACAGCAAGAAACCCCCCTAAAAACAAACTGAGCCTTTGTTCTGACTAGAGCTGGTTGAATAATACTAATCTAATGTATGTAATTAATTTCACAATTTTTTTCTAATAAAATATTCAATCAATATTTCTTCACATTATTCACCCACCTCAGGATGCTATCCAGCTGTGATTAAAGTTCAATTAAAGTTGGAACAGACTTTTATAGAGTTGGGTGAATAATTCACAAATATTCAGAAATATATAAAAATTGCCAAATCTTCCAAATATTTTTTTGAATAATAGGCATATCCAATGGTGCCTGTACAGCTATATCAGTAGGATGTCTCTTGCAGTGATTGTGGATGGAAGACAACCAAAGGGGAGACTAAAGACTTGGTACACAGACCGGATATCAGCAGAGCTCACAGTGACCAATCTGCATGATAGCTTGGCATACAATCATGAGTTTTGGAAGAAGGCTATAAACATTGCTGACCCCGAATAGTGAAGTGCTAAGAAAGAAGAAGAAAAAGAGCTGAGCATCTAGTTATACAGATGAGTGTGATCAAATGAGTATGTTGCAATTTATTCAACTGTATTTAAAGTAGCATTACCTGTGACCCTGATTCAAATAAGCACATGCTTAAGTTTAAGCATGTGCTTAAATGCTTTGCCAAATCAGGACTTCAAACACTAACTTGGGAGCTTAATTTTCTCAGTTCCTCAATGCTCTATCTTAAGGAGATGAGAGCAAATCCTTATATTTCCAAGGTATCTTAGTGGAACTAACTGTAAGGGGAATACCTTTTTCCTGTTTAGAATCCAAAGGCTCTCTTATATTTGATAACTTTTTAAAGCTTATTTATAATACATTTTTTCTAAATCCATATACCTTATCAATAGGAACCACTTAAATTAATGCAGTGTATTCAATTCTATAGTGTTCTTAGAATTTAAGAGGGCAGAAATTAAACTATGACAAACATTATTGTCTTTTGAAATATTACACAAATTTCAAACTAAACCAGTAGATCATTTCATTAAAATTCTCTGAAATCTTAAGATTTGTGTCTTCATTTTCCAAGCATGTTAAATAGCTAATCTAAAGTAAAAAACACAATGTTAAAAATCACTACATCTTGTGTAAAACTGGGACAGATAATCTACTGAAAACATGAAAAAGCCTTGAATAAAAATTAAAGTAAACAATAAATTATTCTTCAGTGCACATAATTAGCTATATACAGTATAATTTAAAATTGAGTATTGATGACTGCTGATGCTGATGCTGAGCTTTTAAAATCTCTGACAAACATAAATAAGATACCCCAAGAGAGGATAGCTGATAAACAGTGACATAAAACACAGATTATTTTTTTTCCTTTCCACCTCCACTTGGGCTACAGATTATGTCAGTTTCTTTGAAAAAATGCACAAAAAGGTAAAAAGTTCAATTCCAAAACCATTTTTCTAAATTTCCAATGGACTTGTACTCCTGGTGTCTCTTTACATGGTCACAAGCAAGGCATGCATGTGATTCCCAGAACCGAGGAAGATGCACTGAGAAGTCTTTCCTCCAGTTAAAGTAGCTAAGGTACAGCTTATTATTTTTGTCAAGCATCAGAAGATACTCTGCTAGCTCTCTTGGGGAGAGGAAATCTTCCACATGAATGAAAGAATCTGCTGGAATATAATTCTCATAGTTTTCTCTGGATGGGCCCAATACAACTGGTACAGATCCAGCCAGAAGAGCATTGTAAAGTTTTTCAGTAATGTAATCTTTGTGGATTGAGTTTTCAAAGGACAGGTAAAATTTACAAGTGGAGATAGTTGGAATCAAGTTTTTATCATTCACATAGTCTCCAAATGCTTGCCCATAGGTATGGATTTCAGTATATTTGCTTAGCTCATTATAATACTTGACTCGAGCATGCTCGGGGTTCCAGTTACTTACAACCCAACATACCAACTTCTCTTTGCTCGGCACTTCAAATGCAAAGGGGCTTGTGCTAACCTTCATGAAGCCATAAGGCACTTGAATATCTGAATCACGCCGATAAGTCAGGGTCAGGTTGAACAGGTGTTCAATGCCACTCTTTTGCGGAGTGTGAGTTGGAGACTCCAAGTTCATCCAAATCCACTTCTGGAATGGTGGCCTAGCTTGCTGAGGTAAATTAGTGAGATCCCAGCTGATGTCTCTGTGGTGAATAAGGACGGCATGAGATCGGTTATATAGTGAGCGGTCAATAGTTAGATGGCACCCCTGGATGTTGAACATTGTTTGGCAGGATGTAAGATCAAATGTCTGCCCAAATGGCCAAACCCAGATCAGTATTGTTGTTTCATTAAAATAATCACTTTTGGTAGAAAAGAAGCTCTTCATTTTCAGAACTGAGCTGGCTGATTCTATGGGACCAGAGATCCAGCTGTTTGTTGGTTTGATGTAAATAAGTAAAAATGCCATGAAACAACCCAACACAATGAAGATAATTAAAAATGGCCGGAAAATTCCTTTGGATGTTGATGTCATAATTTGTTCTGAAAATAAAAACAAGAGGTGTTAATGGTGTACGAGTGTTCTATTAAAGCAATCACACATCAAAATGAATAGTATTTTCAATATCACAAAGCCATAAAACTGTGTGGATTTACCCATGAACTTCCAAAGAATTTTCAATAAAAAGGAAATAACCACACACACATGACAAACAGTGGCACACCATCTTTGCATTTTGAAAGCTAATTTAAATAAACTGAAAGAGTGTTTAGGGTTTAGATGCACATGACTACATCATTATAATTTACTCTGCCAACTGTATGCCTTCTAACTTGGTTCTGGATTCCCCTCTTGTTCCCAGGTGAAGAGTAATTAATTTACTACACTCCTTTCTGGGTGTAACATGCTCCCTACCATGTGCTCAGCTGGCTTTGCTGACGGGTATGTGCCAGGGGGTGTGGAACCATGGCTCCATGCACTCCCTAACCACTTGCTCGTGCGGGCGGGAAGGAAGGTTAGAAATTATTGCAAATGCAGCTCTTGCCTGATCTCTAGATGGGACGAACATCCACGCCTACCATTAAGTACAGCTAGAAAAAGATCCAGGAATACTGGCTCACATTCTCGTGCTCTAACCCCTTGACTCACATCATCCCTAAGTAAGGGAAAACCCATGATGATGAGATGCTGCATGGAGGCTAAATTGTGGTTTTTGTGCCACAGGCCTAGGTAGGCAGCAGTGCAGAGTTACAGTGCCATAGGAATACCAGAGAGATTGCGCCTCTGTGAGATGCCGTTTTCCTGTGCTACTCCTTAGATGAGGGGATGAGCAGTCTACTCTGTCCATTACTATGAAGTGCACTGCTCCCCATGGTGCGCCATATGGGCCCTCGTCCTCCCTGTCTGCTTTCTGGAGTCCTGTTCCCCGTGGGAGGAGTGGGGAGATGGAACAACCATTCAAGGTGGGGTAGCTTGTTGCTTCTCTCTCTGCTCCTTAATGTAGCCATAAAACTTGGAGGCATTTGTTAAAATACATTTATTTTAACAATAAATTTAGCGTGGGAGATTGATGACAGGAGAAATGGAGCAGTATCAGGTACCCAAGAGATCAGAAGGCATCCCAAATATACGTACACACTATAAACGTCTCATTCTACAAAGCAGTTTGGTTACAACAAAACATTTGCTTGGCTTTTATATATTTCTATGACTTTAAGACTTTGTTACGAGCTGCTTTCACAAAGTTTATTATGAAAAGCCCACACCAGAGTGTAAAAACCCCATTTTAAAAAAATTATTCAAAAGAATAGAAAGAATTTGAGAAACCTTCAGGCCTCTTAACCTAGTTTGAAAGCTCTCAGTACCTCACCTGTAAAATAAATATTTAAATACAGCATTAAGACATGACAGGAAGTGTTTTAGAGATCTATTAATACAACATGCCTTTGGGTGCATTGTGAGGGTAAAGAGTCGTGTGTAAGTTTGAAGTTCAGTTATAATAAAAACTACTTTTATGAATATTGTGGGTGTCCATTTAACATACATCTTCATCTCCAGCCCTACAGCCTTACTGTGGCCTGGGCACAAATAGATTTTTTTTCTTTTAAAAAGCCAGATATTTTTTTAATTCTCATGGCTGTGTTGTGACATAAGCCTGCCCATTTCACTGAATCCACTCTGCCACACTGCCTAGTATGTACCATAAATGACATGGGCTAGCATATGCTCCTCCCCTCTGCTTACATTAGCAGAAAGGACCTTAGCCAGCAAACCAGCCCTGGAGGGAGCAGAAAGGAGCAACTGCGGTCTCCATGCTATCGTCTCTTCTTCTGCTGACCCATTTATGCTCCTGTATCAGAGCTCTGCTTAGGATTCTAACAGGCTGGCACCACTTGCCTGAAACATCTTACCCTGTTAGTAGGGAGCATTTCTGTTGTGAAGGTGTTATGGGGGTTCTGTTGACTCCCGAAGGCAGGGGACTCATACCTCACTTGGTATAAAGGAAGCGGGAACGACTCTCAGAGGAGAGGTGATCTAGGGTGCAGGTTGAGCAGTTCTGAGGGAGAAACCCTAGGCAGGGGCAAGTCTGGGGAGAAGATCTGAGGTAATTTCCATGTTACTTTATTGTTGTTTTCTTTGCTAATAAATCCAACCCCCAGGAAGGGGGTTAGTATGTAAATTATGTTTGAAGAGCAGGTTGAAGAAGATGCCTGCTCCTCAGGACCTGGGAAAGGAGGAGGAAAAGAGGAACAGCCATTCTTCATGATACCATCCCTTACCGCTCCAGTAGCTTTCCAACTGAAACTCTGATTGGGAGTTAATTCTACCCTTCCACAGATAGGATGCATAGCTTTGTGTGAGTCTATCAATGACAGCATGGCTCCGGAGGAAGCCCTGCAGCAAAGAAAAAAAACGGAGAGGTCTCCAACAGGATCCCTGAAATCCTCACAGCCCTAATCTCTGCATAGTAGTGGCAGATGGAGTCTTTTGAGTCCTTTTTTTCTAAGTGAACCTAGAAGGTAATGTTGGGCCTTTGCTCATCGATGGCTCTCATATGAAAATCCACAGGATTCCATTTTGTCTTGCCTCCTGTTTAAGGTGTGGCCATTAAGGTGGTTTATGATGAAACATAGTATGCAATGTCTTTAGTATATGGATAATGCCTAGTTCTCCATCTTCATATTCTCTGATCTGGTTAGTCCAGCTGAAAAACGTACTCAGTGCAAACAGAGACTACGGCCTGTATGAGGGCTAGCTGGCTCAGAGTCAGACTAGACAAGATGAAAATCATGCTTGTAGGTCGGGAGAAGCAATTATTGACTGTGGTTATTTCAGTTTCCTTGACTGAAGGAGTTTTCCTGCCATTTCTGACAGAAATTTTGCAACTTTGGGATTCTATTAGAATTTGCTTCTAGATATTTAGGTAACACCAGTGGCCAACAATACATTTTTTTTTTAATCTGTTACTGGGTGGAAGGTTGTGATCTTTTCATTCAAATGTAGTCCATGTGGGTTACACCTGTACTGTGCTAGTCAGAATATGAGTTGCCTACTTGCTTAGCAGCGTTTCCTGAAGAAACTCATTACCTTTGTGGCTCTGTGATCTGTACTGGCTTCCAGTTTGCTTTGGGGTGGGATTCAATGTGCTGGTTTAAATGTACAAAGTCCTAAATGGTGTAGGACCTAGCTACACCTCTTCCTCCTTTTGATAAAGGCTGTTGAGATGAATTGAGGTGCTTGAGTGAATAACAACCTGCTTTAAGGGCATAAGGGGATGTATTTATTAATACAGACCGATGAAAGGGAATGAATAGAATTCATGATTTGTTTTGTAACATTTGTTAATATTTTTAATGTACATGCCCATTCTCCCTGTGCCCTTCATAGTGCAAAAGGATAGACAGACATGTTTTAGAAATCTATCTACCTAATACATGAATATTCTGTAGAGAGGCAGCTGGAGGTTATGGGGTTGAGTTCAGGGTAGCAAGGTGACCTGAGTTCTTTTCCTGACTCTGCCACTGACTGGCTTTATGAACTTGGACAAGTCACTTCATCACTATATCCTTTTCCTTCTGTAAATGGGAATAATTATGCTGATTACTCATCATTTTGAGTGAAAATCGAATAAATGCAAAGTTTTGCTACTGTTATTTATTATTATTTCTCAATTTCTTTGTGCTAAAATTGCAATCTAAGCAAATTACAGACATTATAAAACACTAGGTGAAAACCAAAGAAACACCATAATTTCCTCCCCGCCCCCTCCATTGAGAACCAATACATGTTTTTTCAAGGTGACTTATGGGGTTGCAATGCCAAATACATTATTAATACAAAGGCATAGCTACCTGATAGGAATCTTAAAACAGAAACATAAAAGGAAATGCCTTATCTTGGTTTGGCAAACATATGTTAATAAGTCACTCAATAAGCATTAACAAAGTGTTATCTATTTCCAGAAAAAAGGAAAAACTACAAGAGAACAATCAAAGTAGCATTCCTCACATGAATGAGAGCGAAGGAGCAAAATCAATTGCACTCTACCATAAGAGTTATTCACAGCTCTAAGAAAATTCAGAATGGTTTACAATGGAAAATGATGTCCAACGATTGTACAAGAACATAAATAACCAAACAGATAAAAACATGACCTAAAAAAGGACACATAAACAAGAATGAAAACTAGAACATTTTCAAACAAGTATCCTTTAAATCTTTACTACATACTGTAAAACTAGAAGAAGAAAAAAACAACCCAAAATCTATGCTCCAAGGAGAAAACTCTCAGTTGACACCCAAGGGTGGGTAATTTCTTGGAGTGTCTTTTTGTGCGCATAACAAAAGGAAGAGTAAAAGAGCAGGAATTTCCAGCATAACAAGTTGGGAAATATAAAAGCTTAACAAAAGAAGTGTAAATCACCAAGAAGTGGAAATTTTATATAGGAAAAAAGAAGCTTTTCTGCAACAAACAAGCAGAACATTCATCTACAGGTATGGGTAAGCACTGATAGTATAGTTTAAAATAGTCTGAAAGAAATGCTACAGTAGTTATACACATATACGTACTCTTACAAGGTAAAACAAAGTAGGGTGATTTTGTTTCATTATCTTTTCTTTCTGATTTTCCTTTTCTTCTGACTACATATTATCCAGCGTAACATACATTCAGGTACATCTAAGAACAACTGTCAATATCTCATTAAATGGAAGCTTTTCTACACATATTGTGGTTAATGCACTGCATGTAGAAGATTGACAGATAATATCACAGATATTATACTTAGTTTCTATGCACATGAAATACTTCCTATGGAAAATTACATTTTAATGTTAAATATTTCCTAATTTATTGGTTTCCCCCCCCCCCCAGATTTGTGGGATAACCAAGAGATATTAGTGATGTGAAATTCAAATATTCAATTTTCATTTTGGTTATTGGACTTTTACTGTTCCAGAAGTATGTTACTTTCAATATACCACAAAACTGTAATTAATTTATATTGTTCTACTGTTTTCTTAATAGGTTATGTAGA